GTACGCAGGAAAAACTAATTGGGAACCACTGATCTAGAGTGGTGCCAAGAGTGCCATGATTGGACATCTGAGGACTGGAAAAAAGTAATATGGTCAGACAAATCATGGTACACCTTATTCTGTACTAATGGTAGACAGAGAGTTTGGAGGGAGTCCCATGAAGCAATGGATCTTGCTTGCCTCGTTAACATGATTCAAGGTTCTGATGGGGATGTTATGGTATGGGGCATGTTCTGTTGGAATGTAACTGATCTGCTGATATTCCTGGAAGGTCTGGTGACTTCCACCGAGTACCTGAACGTTGTTACCAATCAAGTTCATTCTGAAATGTTGCATTTTTTTCCTGCATGTGATGGTTCTTTCTTTGATGACAACACTACTGTCCATTGTGCAAGAACTGTTCAACAGTGGTTCAGTGAGCATGAAGACGACTTTTGCCACCCACCCTGGTCACCAGAGCCCAGATCTTAACCCCATTGAGAACATATAGGACATGTTAGAATGACAGATCTGCCAGCAAAATCTGCTTTCGTCAAATCTATGCAAATTAAAGGAAAGTCAAGTGAATGCCTGGTGTGCATTGAACTTAGAAGCACTTCAGCATCTTGTAGAATCCATGCCAAAGCAAGTAAATGATGTAAGATGAGCTAAAGATGGTCCAATAAAATATTAAACTGCTGTTTCTAATTAATTGGCCAGTGAGTGTATTATAAAAATTATTAATTATCATATATTTCATATTTGATTAATAATTTTTATAATAAAAATTTTTCTTTAATATTAACTCTTATAATTACTTTTAAAATTATTATTAGTTAACTATATATAAATGTGGTAAAACTAAAACACCATGCACCTAGTCAATAACAAGAAAGTATTCAGAGCTACACAAAAAGACATAGCACATGGATTATCATCAAGAATAAAGATACAACAAGAGGAGAACAGATAGTGTTCTCTGTTCTTGTTTTATTAGACAAAAACAATTTATGTTGTGCTCAGATTGGAGTCTGAAAAGAAATAAAATAAACAACTAAGTCATTGCTACTCAAGAATAAATAGTTTTTGAGAAATTTCTCTAAAGTAAATGAGGATTGTTTATTATAAAACTATCAGTTTTTTTTATAATTAATAAAAGATAATGTCTATAAAGATACATTTCATCAAGTAAAAATACAATATCTACCTTCATTGCTTTAATATCAACCACTATTAGAAAAATGTTTGACAACAAATATAAATGAGTATATCAACAATTAATTTGGAGAAATAATTTTCATTATTTATTTCAAATAAATCTGACATAAGTTTTTGCTTTCAGAATTTAATAAGTCACTTTTATTTTTATTATTTATATTTTATCTGTTTTTTTATGGATGATGATTGTTAGTCATGGAGAGACTGATTTTCTAGCATCTTTGCTGCTTTGCTGTATGTAGAAGATAAATAAAAAGTTTGATTACTTTAGAACAGAATCACATTCATAATTTGCTTCACTTTCATCTTCAAGGAATGTAAAGTTTCTGGAAGTGTTCTAGGATAAACTAGTGAAATTTTGACTTGATGTAGTTTTTCAGTTTTTAAATGGAATCAGTTTTCTAGTCAGTCTCATAAATTTTCTGCTTTGGTTGCTGTTAACTCTCTATCAGTCTCAGTTTAGTTCAGTTTGGAACATTCTTTTCATGTGAACTGTATACCATACAATGTTGGAATTTACTGTTCAGAATTATTATATAAATTTTGTTTTTAATAATAATATAATAAATTTTATAATACTAATGTTTAAAGTTGATCTCTCTAATATTGATATTTATGTGAAATTAATTAGTATATATCACATTTTTATGTAATCAAAAATTTTAATAGGCCTGATTATATTACAGTTGTAATATGAAATTAAATCTGGATTATTTATTGGAAATGCTCTGGGATTATTTAGCCTTGATAAGAGTGTACACAAAGAAAAGAGGAGGTTTGTTCATTAAGTATTTCATTAGAGATAAATGAAAAAATAAATTGATCATTTATATTCTATGCATTAATACTAATGTTATTAATAAGTTATTTGGACTACTGTTTTTTATAATTTTTAATAAAAAATATATTAAGTGGTAAAATAATATATTTACTAACATACCCAATATAATAAGAAATAATAAATAAAAAAATATATAAAAATTGATTTCATTAACTAATTGGAATTACTATGAATGGATATGAAATTGATGGATATATATTATTAATTATTTCAGTCTCAAAGTTTGCTATGTTTGAATCTTATAATATATTTCATATACTTGAGCAATAATACTGATTATGCAAGAAAAATTCTCAAACTTATAAAATAGTTTCTGAAATACTTAATTTTTTATTTTTTCTTAAATCTGTTCATTTTAAAGTATTATATATGTTGTTTGTATTTCTGAATTTACACTCATCACTAGGAATAAACTAACAAAATTCAGTATAACAATAAATTACAATCAAAATCAGAAAAACTGATTTTTCCTAAATAATATAATACCATAAAACCTGTTAGGCATTATTTCAGATAGTTTCTTCAAAAATGAATAGCTGGAAACTGTTTTTCTGCAGATGAACAAGACAGACAGGGAATCTACATTTAAGAGGCAGTTATATCATTTTGTGTGCACATATAAATTGACTAAATGTTGATTTTAAGCATTTTTAAATATAATATTAAGTATAATCATAATTTTGAAAAAGGAATAAATGAAAATGATGCAGTTTTATTTACTCTATTTATAAGTATTGAATATTTATTAAGCTATATCTCATAAAAACTATTGGAGTAAATTGACAAAAAAAAAACTTTATTTATTTTACTAATTTTACATATAATGTAAAGCCAAAATGGCTGATTATAACAAAGAAAAATAACAAAGAAAAGTGTGATAGAATGACAATAAAGTGTAACAATTGCAATAAATTATTTTTAAAAATCAATAACTTTAGCTTTACAACAATTTTTTGTATGTATTTCATCTATTAATTTCTCTAAATCGCTCATACATTTGAATTTTTCTTCATCCATGTTATTACATAATACTATATCTGATAGTGGTTAAGATATAGAATGCACTTTTTAAAATCTGGACTTGTAATGGATCACCACCACTACTCTCTTCTTTTTCTTCACCTCCAACATCTTTAAGTGATGATATTTAATCACTTGAATTAACCTGTAAAACATTGATTTTAGTTTCTGCTTTCTTTCTATCTCTCTAATAATAAAATAGCAAAATATTACAAGCAGTTGTTTGTAGTAAATTTTAAAATTCATTATGATGTGAAGATCTAATGGTTGAAAGATACTGCTGTACAGTCCATGTAGCTAAAGAGTGGACATGAGTCAGCCTGAGCTGGAAGAGTCTATGAAAGGGATGGAAAGAGACATGTGAAAGTTGACATATGCTCTGATTTTTTCATCTGTTTTGTTTCTTATGCATTCTGCATTTTTTCATTATGAATTTTAAAAATGTTTTTATACTACAGGTAACCCCCATATAACACGGCACTTTTATAGCACAGATTCACTCTGACACAGTTCGAGAAATGGGTAAAACCCTCGTACAACATGAAATGTAATAAATTTTTACATACTTGAGTACTAATAGTTCATGAAAATTATTATTTTCGTGAACTATTAGTACTTCAGTGTGTAAATTTCCTTTTCTCGTCTCCATACACATGGTCCTTCCCGAAAATTGTTTCAATTTTGCCATATCTCGATGCTTCTGCTTCTGGTGTTGCCAGATGTTTTTCCCTTATTCCATAAGTACTTAGCACCATATAAGGAAATTTATAAAGATCTTTTAACTAGAAGCAAGCAATCTAAAATTACATACACTTTTTGCATAAGGTAAAGCATGAAACTGAAAATAATGCAGAAAAACGCTCAGAGGATAATGATAACTTGCCAAAAATAAAACACTCTCAGTTAATAGTGCTTTTAGTGATGACAAAGAAAACATTGTTTAATTTATATTAATATGTATCACTTAAGAAAATTTTAATAAAGATATTGAACTTAATTATGAAAATATAGTAGCATGTTTTTTAATTTTTGGAACCTAACCCTCCTTTTCGTACTAGTTCTTTGATTCGCAAAACACGGATTCGCTTAACATGGCAATTTTTTGGAACATAACTACCGTGTTATATGGGGGTTACCTGTATTTTTATCATAATTTTATAGTTACTTTTCTTATATAAATGTCATTACAGTAGAGCATCGATTATCCGACTCAATTGGGGACTGGGGTTGGTCGGATAACTGAAAAGTATGAAAAAATACATTATTAGTATAGTATATTATTATACTGTATTAGTATATCCCATGTAATTAGTATATTAGTATATTGCTATAAACCTACTTCACATTGAATTTTCATCAATGTTAAGCCTAACAAATTTAAATAATAATCATTGCTATTGTATCATTAAAAATTAGTTTTAAATTATTTTATTGCTCACAAAACAAACAACCACTCATAATTAGAAAATTAAGCCTCGTTTAAATACTGCTCTCCCTTTCATGGTCAAGCCAGTGTTGCCAGCTAAAACACACAAAAATTTAACAAAAATAATATTAAAGTAGCTAAGACATAGCCAAATATTGTAGTGCCACATCACTAGCGGACATTTGAAATTCGCCGACTATAACAGTCGGTTAACCAATGTGGCAGTTGATTGGGGGTCGGATAATCGATGCTCTACTGTACTGTGATCACATGTCTCTCCATCCCTTTCATCTGATATACACCTTTCAAGCTCAGGCTGACTTGTGTCTACTCTTTTGCTATATGAACTATAATGTAAATAACAGGAAGAAAATTCCAACACATTCTCTATTAGGAGGATGTGATTCAAAAACAGTACTATGGCTCAACAATTTGAACATAAAATAATATATAGTAAAAAAATTATTCACATTTTTAATGATGGCAAATGATTAAACCATTTTTTATTATATATAGAACCTCCAGATTTTGAAGGTGGAATAATTTTAAGAAGAAATGCATCAGTAGAGCATGTGGTGAGTAAAACATTTTTTCAAAGAATTTCTACTAACTTTATATATATATTATTTGATATATCAATATTTGAGGTTGATTTATTATATTTTTTCTGATTTTAAAGTTTAAATTTTTTTGATGAAAAATGTTTAAATAAATGATAAAAGGTATAAATTAAGTTAAAGATTGTTTTGATATGACATTATGATGTATAAGTTTTGAAATTTATAAAATTTCATATACTATATATGAAAATTTATAAATCATATTTAAGCTTTGTATTTCTTTGAATTAAAATTATGTAACCAGTTTCTATATTACTGTTATTCTATTAAAGGGATCAAATTAGATACATATTGTACAGTGCTTGCGTGTATAATAATTTAATATTGTTTAAATATAAATTTCAAATAAGTTACAATTTTAAACCTTTTTTAACAAATCTTTATTTCTTAGTGGAACAAAAGAAACCTTTGATTTCACTAGATTTTTTGTTTACAAGTCCCAGAATGTGAATACTTTTATCATGCCATTTAATCAAGCTACCGATCATGCTTCATTCATATGCATTTGTTTACAGCCATGGACTTACACAAAAGAATACACTATAATTTGTTCAGTTGTAATCTAATTGCACTCAGTTAGTCATTTGTACATTCAGTTATGCATCACATATAAAATGTAATAATTAACTTGTAAAATTATAAAACAAATGGTGAAGTTTTTTCTGATGTGATCCATTTTTATATCACACATTATATCTATTGCTATTATCAGTGAATTTTGTTGATTTTATTATTATTATTTTTTTTTTTTTAATTTTTGTTATTAATAAATAAATATATTATTTTTAATAGGTAGATAGTTTATTTGAAATCATTGGGAAAACTCTTCCATTTGAGTTAGTAATTAGTGTATATATAATGTTAAATTATGATCAAATGATTTTTATTTAATTTTTAAGGGATCCTAAAATTATGTCATTAAAAATGTCATCAATATTTTCAAGAATATTTAAGCCTAGGATTTATTTTTTTACTGGAAATGATTCAGTATCATTATGCCTTATCTATGAAAAAATATTCTCCATGGATACAATGAAACCATCAAAGCTAAAAGAGCATATAAAATAATGCATCTTGATAAGAAGAGTAAAAATTTCAAAAATCTTAATGTGTTCCAAAATGCTACTGAAATTATTTTTTAAACTAACAATATGTAAAAATATTGAAGGAGGATTAGAGAAGGGTTCTTATAACATATTGTTAATTGCAAAAGTTGCCATATAACTGCATATATGTATTCAACAGCCCTCCTATATAATATATCTTGATAGGAATTAATAGAAAAAAATTTTTTCTTAAAGGCAATATAGGAAAAAGATTGGAACCCTCATACTAAAGCAAACAATACACAAAATTCCTTCTCGATAACTGGATCAATGTCTAAGTACATCAAACAAAACCTTTACCATCCAGTAAATAAATTTAATGTAAAATTCAACAAATGTTTTTGATCTTACACAATATGTGTATCAGTTCAACACTATTATTTAAAAGGTTGTTGACCTGATGCAGATCTTGTGTAAGATCAAAAAAATTTGTTGAATATTACATTAAAATTATATACTGGATGGTAAAGATTTTGTTTGATGTACAGTACTTAGCCAAACAATATAATTGTTAATGATGGGTATGTGGAAGAGCATAAATGTTTTTGATGCAGATAATAGGCTATCTTCAGATATAAGAGGAATCCTCTTGTGGCTTTTTTTACACATGAAGATTTGTTCATTACATTAACCCACCATTTTTATTTTAATGTTAATCATATAATGAATAATGTCATGCTAATAGAGTACTGCAATGAATTACAGTAGCATATATGTAGTTCATGCTATTCACATAAAATGACTGACAAGGAGAGCCTACGGCTTTGGGGTAACGGATTTTGATGATCTTTGGTGTAGAGGTAGTACACCATGTGAGTGTACTACCTGTAAAATACTAAAGTGCAATACTCAAATATAATCGAGAAAAACGAACTTAAAGTTTTTGAGCACTTTATATATAAATTATACGTGCTTCCATTCAAGCGTCCTGTGGCTGAGTGGTAACGATCCTGGTTCGTATGCTTGATTTCCCGGGTTCGATTCTCGTGTACACTTTTCATAAATATTCATATTCATAAATACTTATAATGTNATAAATACATTATAAGTATTTATGAATACACATTATAAGTATTTATGAATATGAATATTTATGAAAAGTGTACACGAGAATCGAACCCGGGAAATCAAGCATACGAACCAGGATCGTTACCACTCAGCCACAGGACACTTGAATGGAAGCACGTATAATTTATATATAAAGTGCTCAAAAGCTTTAAGTTCGTTTTTCTCGATTATATTTGAGTATTGCACTTTAGTATTTTACAGGTAGTACACTCACATGGTGTACTACCTCTACACCAAAGATCATCAAAATCCGTTACCCCAAAGCCGTAGGCTCTCCTTGTGAGAAGGAAAAAGACTACAGTTGAACAATGATCAGTTTGCTGAAATAAAAAGTTTTTCATAGAGAAAAGTTTAATGCTCATTTTAAGTTTTACTATTACATTTTCAATGGTCTTGCTTGTCCTGCAGATACTTGCAGATACAGAGTGATACTTGTAGCCAGCAAATATTCTTTAAGTTTTCTAAATGATACTTTTGACTCACATGTAGAATTGGTTTGTGATTTTGAGGGCCTGGGACTTGTGAGGTTCCAGATTAGGTCCAACCCAGAAAACATACGTAAAAATTAAAAGAATGTAAAAGTAACTGATTAATAATGAAATTAAGCATAGAATAAACAGCATCACACCGAGGAGAAAATGCTACTAGAAAAAAACAAACTATATATTGTAAACATGTCCAGTAGAATTAAAATAAAGTAATTTAAATCTCAAGCACAAGACAGGTGCAGACAACGAGAAGTTACAGGAGTATTTGCTCAGGAGAATGGGCAGTCATAAATATGACAAATTGGTAAAATAGAATGAACTTTAAATAAATAAATTTTAGATTTATGGTGAGGAGAAGATCATGATGTCACCATTAGGATTCTTGATTATCATAGTATGAAAACATAATTTCATACGAGAAATTATGTTAAAATACGAGAAAAAGGGATAAAGTTCAATAAACAATTCTCAGATGGAGTTGAAATAAGATATCAAATTATACGTGCATGGTTTACCTTTCTCGCACCCTAATCTAAGTTTAAGGCAGGAGAAAGGTCCTTTTTGGTTACACCCAAAAAAGCAGAAGGGTGACCAATTAGGAAGCAAGGAACGAAGACTTAACCCAATCAGATTTCTTTTAATCTGCTAAAACCCTATATAAACAGCTGAATCAAGGACACTCATCTTCTTCCCCACTGATTGTCCATGTATACTTTTTTCTATCTGCCTTACTTAAGTAGCTGCTCAAGATCACTGTGTGTTCTGAACTTTATTTGTGCTTGTGTGTGTGCCTCATCTTCTCTACTGACCTGAACCGAGAATTGTCTCCAGTTCTTTGACTTGACTCCGGATCTACTCTGCCCCGGGGCGGCTATCTCGCCAAGGACACGTCAAAAGAATGGGCAATCTTATGCATCTGGACTTAAGGACAGTTAGAATTGATTTAGAGGAATTTTTGTAAGCTCCTTTTAAATGTTCCAATAAATGGGTTAAACTTTGGAAGGAGACTCGTGTCCACTCTTCTACATACTCACCATCATCGCTCTTCTCCCCTGATTTTGGGGACAAATTAATGCCCTCACTTGTCAGCACAGACTAAAACTAATGTAGGGTCAGAAAAAGTCTTTTGTTAAAAGAATTTGCCATTATATAGTATGTATAATATTGTTATAAAAATTTACAAGTTAAAATATAGTGATCATAAATGTTAGAATTGCATGTAGTAATCATCCTTTGATTATTTAGTCTAAATATGTAAAACAAAGATTTGCTTAGAGACTGGAAGGCTGATGGAATGTGTAAACATCATCATAATCCATTAACAAATAAAAATGAATAGGTTTATCAGCATTTTTATGTTTTGTGTCTGACTGACAAAAACTCTCAATCATGTGGATTTCCAGACTTTTCTTCTCACCTCCTATTGTTCCAGGAGGAAGTGGTCTGAAATCAGAGTTGTGCTAATACTTGAAATCAGATTGTTGCTAACTAATACTGTCAGTGCCTTGAGTTTCTCCTAATTCTTATTGAGTTTAATGCTCAGTAGGTATAGGAGGAACTCAAGGCTTTGTTAGAAGTTGAAAAAATGAGTTTTCCTTCTTGAATATTAGCAACATTTCTTGATCAACAAACAGAATCAAAAATAAAAGATAATGCTGTTTGATTTGACTGATTCATTATGAATGCATAGTAAATGAATTAATATTTATCTTGAAAGCCTTAAATAATGAAATTCCAAAAGATGAAAAAATATTTAGTTATTTTGAAGTTTGTCAAATGTTTCAGTTAAATGAAATTTTGGTTAATAATTATTGGATATGTTATAAAGAACCCATGATTATATTAAGTACCAACTAATGTATTTTTGTAGAACAAAAAGACATGTGAAGAATGGCAATTTGAGCACTGTATGATGATAACATTTCTTAGGAGAAACTTTTATCATACAGGCGTTAAATTACAAAAAAATGTTGCTAGACCGACAAGCACTTTCGACGATAATTATTTTTGTCTTCCTCAGGTCGTTAAAAACGGTTAAAGTCCTTTTTTTGATTACAAATTTATTTGTAATCAAAAAAAGGGATAGCATTTCTGTTTACAAAATGTAGTTAAGGTTATTATGAGCAATGCCTTAGTTTGAAAAGATAGAAGAAAAGAAGCTTTTGACATGGATAAAATTTCAGCATGGACTTAATATCTTCTTAACCCTTCGGTGGGCGCCCCCGCGGCAAATTGCCGCAAAATAATAATAAATTCGTTTGTTTGACGTTGTACTTAATTATTGTGGAAATATGTCATAGTATTCTCTCTTCATATTACAAGTTACAATTTATCTTTGAAATCAGGTCAGTTATGCTAACCGTTTAGCTGTTACTGGACTTTGAATCAAGTCGTACCTAATTTGCGTTGTAACTGCCGCTAGGCACCCTGTCATGTAACTAAAATATCAGTATACGTTTATATATATGTGTTTAATTTTTTTAATAAAGTAAGTCAATATTTGCAAGTTTATTAAATAAATATATTAAATTAACACTATTGTAAGTTTCTATAAATTTTTAACTGTATATTAGTTTATATTTTTCAAAAATATAAGGGAAACAAAGAGCAATCCAAAGTAGCGGCAAAAACCTAGAATTTGTTTTATTTGTGGCATACTCAAAAACAATAGGAAAAAATCAATTTGTCAGAAATGAGTAGAAATATTTGCAAGAAGAATCAGAATATGGGGATTATATGTGCCATGTGTGAAAGTGAACATCTCATGAATATATAGTGACTATTTTTATTATCTAAATATTTTATAAACAATTTGTTCATTAAAATGCCATAAAAATAGTTTTCTGGTATATCTGAATCATATTTTTAAAACGATAATTAATTATTGACTTAAATCAAGTAATATTACATATGCGGTGCAATTGCCGCGATGCGCCCTCTCGTGAGATCCTGAAATGGATAGTTCCCCGTTCCCCGAAGGGTTAAACTGGTTTCAATAGTTTGAATTTAATTTTTTTGTATTACTACATAACATTTATATAATTTATGTATTAACACTAAAAGACAAAATTTAAAACTATTGAATGTTGAAATTTTTTAGCATTCATGAATTTCATTTTGAAAAAATAATGTTCGTTTCAAATTTCTTGTGATGAATATTTTTACTCTTATAATTATATGAAAATTCCTAAATTTATCCAGTTTAAAACTAATAATTTGATATGATTGATTTCATAATTTTTAACTTTTTGTATGATAATATTGATTACCAATTTTAACTATAGATATAATTTTTCTTAGTATTGCTATATAGATAGAAAAGATGTTTGACTCCTCAGATTGTAAAACATTATGAATCAACAAAATCAATTTTCAGAAATAAAAAAACATGCAATGCTGTAAAAAGTGATTTAATCATTTTTATTAGACATGATACAATACTTAATTTGCCAGTATTTGTTTGTCGTACACTACAGATGTTGGTAAAAAAAATGAAAACTCATTGATTTATAGAATAGGCTGCATGGAGCAGTTTATTCCTATTTGTTTAATTTTGGATTATTATAAAAGACCTAATTAGGTGATTAAACATTCACATCATTTATATGTTCTGGTTTAAAAACCCAAGCATTTCTAGTTTTTCTCTGCCAAGTATGTATGATTGTCTGTGGTACTAAATAACAACTCAGATGAAACAGAGGAATGCAGACAAGTATTTTTCTATCTGCACTTTAATTGGGTTATCTTTTTGTGACTTTCTTCAGTGGAGCATTTCCCCTTCCAAAACAGCAGTTGAGAGGCAGGGTGTTCTCATGTAATCCTCCTCCATTTCTGGCTTTTTCTACAAATCAGTGCTCCCTACAAAGTTGGAGCTCTCCAAAAGTAACAAGAGTTGGTGCAGAAAGGAAGCTCATTTACCATAAGTTAGTTTTACAGTCTAGTTTATCCATTGCAATATTCAAATGTCTGCCACTGTAAAACATCATGAAGGATGTGTTAAAAAAGATTAGAGCATCAATTTGTAAAATAAATTGATACATTGATGTATTGGATCAGTATTGGTAATTATGTTCAATGATGTATCAAGTAGCAAAAATAATTAAATAATAAGATGTTAGAGTCTAGTGTCTTCAATTAACACTTCATTGTGATTCCAAAAAAAATAAAATATAGAATATAATAAGTATAAAATAAATATATATACAGTAAGATCCTGCTTAACATGGGGATGCATTCCTAGACAACAAAGTGCTAAAAGAAACAGCATTAAACAAGGTAATTTTAACATAGAGTAAATAGGAATAGGTGAAACACACGATTGAAAATAAAAAAAATTTTACTTTAATTTTAAGTTATTTTTATATTAATTTGTATAATAATATATGCTAAATAACACAAGCATATGCACACAGAAATGTATAATAATATATTAATTAATTCATTTTTTTCTATATTCATAGTTCATTTTTTGTGAGAAAGGTCCTGACTTTTCTGAAATTCTTGTTTTTTTTTACATAAAAGTCATATAGTTTCATTTGTTGCTTTGTTTTTCTTCCCTTAAGCAAATGTCGGTAGCAAGATATCGCATCCAAAAGGCCTCATTTTGCTTTTGCACTCCTTTCCAAATCTAGGTCATTCGCTACAGTTTGATCAATGATTTCAGTTATCATTACCAAACTTTTACTAAAGAAATCTGTAGAGAAATTTTTTGGGTTCTTTGTTTTCAGAATCTCTATTTTTCAGTTCCATATGAATTCCATGTTCTGCAAGTTCTTGAAGGTCATTGTTGAATGGAAACCTGCGGTAACTACTCAATATCCTGTTCATCTATATCTCCTAGTCCTGCTGTATTTTGATTACGTTGAGTTTGATCAACCTAACAATAAAGCTATAGGTTCTTCTTGTTGAGAATTCTTGAATACCTTCAGCCATAATGTCTTCCACACTTCATTCATGCATTTATCAATCAATTCTTGCCAAGTGAAGCCAATATTGCCTATGGCATCCATGATGTTATATTTTTTCCAAAATTGCACCAAACAAACATAAATTTAAAGAAAGTACACTTTTTTGCCACCTTTTTCTGGTTGGTTCGAGTTCATAAATAATCAATAAAATGCCACAATAATTTAAATCAGCATAAATTTTTAGCTTTTTTAAGGCTTTGAGCAGACTGCATTATATTGAATCTGCATTAATCAGGGTCTTACTGTATATAGTTTTAGAAAATACTGAAAATATTATTTTAAATAACAAATATTAGAATAAATTAAATTTTATCTTGTATGTTTTTCATTTCTTCTAGTGTCATGTCATTCATAGAGGATTGATTAGCATCTTCAAATATGCATTAGTATGGGTAAGATTGTAATATTCACATATAAAATTTATTTCTAATTAAAATTGAAATTTTTGTGATTCTTAAAAATAATTGCACATATCATATAATACATATTGAATTTGATTTAAAACTGCACAGCCCTCTATATCAGTTTAAAACTGGCAAAATACAAATTTCATCAGTGCTGTTTTATATTTATTTATTTATTTTTATTTATTTATTTATTTTTTGTCACAAATTATGATGGCTGCATTGCATCACATTCTCTCAAAAATACTTTTGTTAAAATTTAATAAATACAAATATGTATTTGTAGATATTTGTGCTTAATGTGTAATCTGATAAACTGTGAATAATATCTTAATATTGATACAAGCTTTAATAGACTTGTTGATCTGATGTCATTAAGCTTGATGGCTTTCAGTCATGTATTAAATCTTAGTTAATTTCATATAATCATAATAATATCATTAATTAATTTTGTATAATTCATAGAATATAGTTTTTATGCTGCTATTTGTACTTAATATTTAGATCAGACAATTAATATTGATAATTTTATGAATTTTAAAATACATCAGATTACTGTATATTATCAATCCGTTTGCATGTTTTGTAGACAAATACCATATTTATTCTAATAAACAGTGCAGTTGCAAGCTGAAAAAAAAAAGGATGCTTACTATTAGAAGGCAACTATTAATGGAATAAATCTGGTAACTTTTTCACTTTGTTGAGTTGTGTATAATAATAAACAACACATTCACACTGTATTTGAACATAATTTATTTGTAACTGACTTGTGAGTGAAAAATATCAAATAGAAAATGCAATTTTTTAGTTGACAATAAGCTTTATTTTCCTCTAATAGACAGCATGCTTATTATTAGAGAATGCCATTTATAAATTTCTTCATCTTGCAGCTGATTGGCTTATTAGAGGATGCTGTTTATATGTGACTACATATATACCATATTTATTATAATAAACAACAGTTTTATTTATTTTTTAGGGAACAAGTACCAAATACAGTCCACAGAGAGTTGGTTTACAACATATAGTTCATCATGAAGATGTAATTCAAGTTGTTAAGAAGTGAACTTTTCTTTAAAAACACTGTTTCATATGAATGATATATAATGTAATATAATATTTTTGTTGAATGAAATATTTATACAACTCTTGAAATTTATAAAGCAATCAATAATTAAAAGTTAAAAAATGAAAAAAATGAATTTCAAATGTTTGGTTTGGATTGGTCTCTGAAATCATTCATTTAAAATATTAAATATCATTAAATATGCTGTTTTTAATTCTTTACAATTAGAAAGAATTGTAAAGAATTAAAAACAGCATATAATCAGGTGTTTTCAAACTTGTATGTCCAACTTCAACAGCTCTGAAATTGCTGGCACAAGGGTTAAGACATCAGCCTATTGTTCTGGATACCTGGGATTGAATTCAGTCCAATTGAAAATACTCTAGGACTTTTTTCAAGAATGGTGTCTTTTCCGAGATGTTAGGTGCTGTCTCTCACTACCTGGCCAAACCCACAACAGACTTGATAAAAAAACCCTTTTAGTGTCTGTTGTGCGTCTAATTACAAAGTGGACCATAAATTAACGCAACAAACATCTCCAGCAAATAGTTGGTGAATTTATTTGTGGATTCACAAGAAGTAGAACAAAATGATACATAGATTCATAGATAGAAGCTACAACAACTTTTTTTTAAAAAAGCGTGCAAAGCGAGAGAGTGCACCCTCTCAGTAGTTTTTATTTAAAATAAAATAAAATATCGTCTGCTGGTCCGAACAGTGTCCATGAAGATTTTAAAAAGTTCTGAAATGAACATTCTAAAAATGTATTTAGTTTGAATCCTTTTGAGGATGAACATACAAGTTTGAAAAAAAATCAGAAAGTATACTGGCTTGTGAACATTTTTTAACTCCAATAAAAGATTAATAAAATATTTAATAAATTATAAAATAACTGCATTAAAAAGTGTCAATAATAATATTTATATTTGTTACGCTGTACATTTACTATTAGATATGAATCAAATTATTTAATTATTTCAAAAGTTCTTGAACAATTGAAAATTGATCTTTTGACTTTGCAAGTTTATGAAAATCATCAATTTTATTCACATTAAATTTGCTAACAAATTCAAACCCCAATATAGAAAATGTGTAACAGATTTTATAACAAATATGTTGTTAGTCATATAATAAATATTTGCTATATGTTTTATATAATTTATAATAGGCATTATTTATTATTTTTTTGGATGCTGACTCTACATGAATATTTTGAGTTGATGACATATATCTTTATTGTTTCTCAAACCTCTAGTGCATTGCTTCAATAGTGAAATGCATATTAGTTAATATTGTATAGATTACATTCAGATTTTATTGTTATAAATGGAAAATTGTTGATTATTTTTCAATTTTCCATAAAATGTATTAGAGACCAACAAAAGAATTGTTATTTTGAACTTGGTTTGAGAGAGAAACTTCACAGTTTCTTCCCTCCTTTTCTACCAAAGGTTTGTCTCTGCTAGAATATTCTTACTTAATATTTATTAAAAATAAATAGTATTTTGTTTTTCTTTCTAAAATTACAAATAGATATGAACATGGATAGTCACAAGCATAAAATTGGAAACAATCTGGTCTAATTTATTTAAAACATTAATAGAAGGTTAGATTATGCCTTAAATTTGTTATAGGCATCCATATTTCATTCAGTGTATTAATGACTTACTGAGAAGAATGATAAGAGGAAACCGAATGTAAGGAATAAACTGCATATGAATCTCTTCATATTAATTAAATTGTATTTACTAAAAATTGCACATAATGTTTATTTAAATGCAGCCACAATTTAAGAAAAGTTTGGCAAGTTTTTTCTCTTGATTTACATTCGTATTTTATCGTATGGTATTTAGGAGATATGAAATTTTGTAACAAATTCATGCGAAAATATTGATTTCGTTTTGAATAGGACCAAGAAATTAAAATACATTAAAAATATAAAAACGATAGTTTTGTTTCCGTTGATGCTTATTATTCAGATTACAAGATATGACAAATACAGTACGTCATTTTTCTCACAATGTCATGGTTGGTTGGTTATGACCTGGTAGGGCTTGAGCTTCCCCACAATATCAGTTTCTACTCTGTGGCGTGGTGACATCGTGTGGCGAAAAACAAATGATGATTTAATTAGAATAATCTGTTTTTACGTAATTTGTTAAGAAAATAAAATAATGTCACTTTATTAAAGTAATTTTAAATTCCAGGAGATCGATTAAAATATATTTAAAAAGTGAAAAGTTTCGCATATAATATTATTTAAAAATTTGTTCTTTTCTCACCAGGAAATTTAAATTCTTTATTTAATTAAATGCATTTATACTCTCAGAAATAATAATTATTTTATTTTATTTTTACTTGTTATATACAGAAAAAATGAAATAAAATTTCCAACAAAATATTGCTGCTAGCATGAAATATTACACACGGACACCTACCAAGTAAATTTATTTATTTATTTATTTTATTCTCTATATCCATTAATAGAGGTGATGGTGGGAAGATTTATTAATATTTTAATATACTTGTAATAAAATTCAGAGATTTAAAAAATTTCAAAAACCGAAGCAATAACTGAATACTTGATATTCGGTCCTATAGTATGTTTATGTAAAATTCAACAATCACTAGAAAGAACAGAAGCTGACGAGCACTCGAAAAAAGGAGGCCTTATTTTTGGGGAATAAGGTAAATTTTTATAAAAATTTAAATGTTAATAATAATTTTTTCTGTTTGTAAATTTTTGTCCTAATGACAATTATTAAGTTTCTGAAGACAAAGTTTGTCCAAAAACGAACCGGACAGACTTTGTCTTCAGAAACTTAATAATTGCCATTCGGACGAAAATTTACAAATGAAAGTTTTACAATATATCATCACCAGGGGGCAGCTTTTCTAAATCTACATTTTTCAGTGCTCATTTCCAGTAGATAAAAGCCGTAACAACCTAAGAAGGTATGGATGGAAGCAAGAAAGAAGCTTGTATGTCACCAGTTCCTTTTTTTAGAAATTCTTGTAATTTTAATTGGATATATTTTTCGTGTTTTTACAAGGACTTTTTTTAACTTCTGGCGACCAGTAGCCTAAAAAGAAAGATCAGTCGCCAAGTGTGTAGTCTGGAACGCGAGATAAAGTCTGTCCAAAAAGGAACCACCATTTATTTGTCTTCAGAAAGTTAATAATAATGTTGAATGAGTACGAGTAAAATTTTCATGAAGTATGACACCCACTGGAGATATAACTTCTAGCCCTTCTATTTCTGCTTTGGGTACACGATAACTAAGCGATTCACAATGGGCGATAGTCAAGTGGGCTACAGAAACTTTTTTTTCTGACTTGTAAATTCCGGGAGATCGATTAAAATATATTTAAAAAGATATATATATATTAATCGTTGTCTTTGTTTTTATGTATGTTCGTTAATTTTGGGTTAATATAATATCAATTGTTGGGTTTTGTAATATAAACTGTCCTTCGACTTTTTTATTTACTTGTAAAAATAAATAAATAAAAATATGTATGTATTTTAATTACAAAATCGTTCTTAACCGTTGATTACAAAATCGTACTCGGCGGTTCCCAACTTTTTTTTGATTTGCATACCCTCTTGCCTCATAGCCCATTTTCCTAAGTTTTATTTTCCATTTTTACTAAATTTTAAAGCTCGTGTTCTTCAAACGGTGACGTCTTGGTCAATTATACAATGCTGTAAAGTACAACTATATATATATAGGCTTATATATTTTCTTATTAGAAAAGAATTGGAAGAAAAACACTATAAATATACTTTTATTATATTTATCTATTTCATTTAAAACTAAGCATCGAGTGCTGTGACATCGCCAAATGCCTCAGCACAAAGTTGAATATTCTTATAGTACTGTACTGTACATTCGCCATTATTAATTTTTTCTCGTATCCCTAAACTATCGAGAGCGTATCCCCGGTTGGGAATCGCTGTTTTAACTCGTTTCTTAAAAATTATTATTTAAATTCACCGGGTCAATAGAAAGAATGGTAATTTTAATATAAAAAACAAAAAAGATTGTATTTTGTCTATTGTTCATCTCTTATTTTGTCGCCCAGTTGGCGGTGTCTCTTCCCTTTCACTTAGAAGTATTCCTACCAAATTTCAAAATTTTTGGTCATGAAGTTCGGACATATAAACCAAAATCAGGCCAACAAACAAACACGCAAACTTCCAAGTCTTTGGGATCAAGTGACCTTAAAACTCGAGAAATGAAAAACCCGAATGATCAAAATTTAACCATTACAATACTCTCCCTCTGTTGTAAGCCTCTGTGAACCGATGATAAGCCTCCTTATAAGCCTTTACCGCCTCGGCTATTCAGCTGTCAGATAACAAAAGAAAGAGAATCGACTTATCCAACCAAAGCTATTATGAACATTTCTGCGATTCTGTTCCAAATTACCCAAAACGAGCTAGGACACCCAAAATCCGTTCTCTCAGAGAAGTAGACTGACATCTTTGATCATCAAAATGATATAGTTTCACATTTGACTCAATCCACAGGACTGTGAAAGAAATCATATTTTGTCAATATTTACTACCGTTATATAATGGCTGTATGATAAAATACAGCCGTTATGGTAAGAACCATACAAACCATAACGATGTTAACCATCAACTTTTGATGCTTTAACATCATTATGGTCCCGAGTGTCTAGTCTGCGGAATCCGGGTCGGAATGCTAGAATTTCATATTTATTTTAGCGAAACAGAAAGATAAGAAACTGTTAGAACAGGATTCATGAGTATGCTGCAATAATGTTAACAAATCTTAGTTGATGATCGAAGTGATTCATATGAAACGTCGCTAAAGCAGAATTGATCTTATTATATTATCTTTTATCATTCCAGTCCTTTCCGATTCGGTAACAAGGCATATTTTTCCACAATGAAAATAAAATTCATCAAATGATTATCATTTGCAAATAGAAAAAAGTGTGTCTGATGAAGCTATGGTTCATTTCGAAAGTAATCATAAACCTTTTCAGCCATTTTCTTTAGTTGACACAGCAAAAGAAAATTCTTTGAAGAAATAAATATCAAATTCAAACAGGTTCTTGGATGATTAGCGAATATTACAATCTGTTATTCAATATAAAATCGTCTGAAGATTGAGATATTTAGAATGCCTATTAACAGAATTTGATTGAGCTTGTCCTGAAATTTACATAAGTCAGAGCGTCCTCCAGTCGGCGGGTAGCCAAGACGTCAGCTTACAGCTCCGGAGAACCCAGGCAATCAACCCTAAGCATTTTTCATGGGTAGTTGTCCGGATATATCGGGCCCCGCCCTCTCGTCCAGCGGTCTCATTGTGAGATTAACGAAATGGATCTGATAAAAGGCCTTCTTAGTGTCAACAGGACAGAAAGAGTTAAGGGAGGAAAGGAACCTTAAGTCATTCAGTACTGAGGAATCTTGCGACGGCAGCAAAGTTAAATGATTCTCATGTGTTATAGATTGTTAATGACAGGATATAGTGGTCTGGTTGGTTGATTGGCTCAATGGAATGTGACCTACCAACTCATGGGCGATCTGCCAAGAGGGAGGACTTTGTATAGAAAACTGGCCTCCACTTAGGTGTTAAATAATTACCATTATTCGATCATTTAAATATTTTTATTTTTACATTTCAAAGTTTTTGTTAAAATGTAAACACACAATATATATTTTTTAAATAAAATAAACTGCAGAGCGAAAAGAGTTTTAAATACTTTTTAAAACTCTAATTTTTTAAAGAGTTTTAAACTCTGTGTAAAAGAGAATCTGTTTTAATGGATCCCACTGTGGATTCGGGGCGGCCAAGTGGATGAGGGATAGTATTAAAAAAGAACAAAACGAATTCTATTCTGCTCCATATCA